TTCTCAAAGAAAAAATAAGTAGAATGAGTTGAATTTTGGGGATCGGACAACGCACGGAATGGAATAGGAGGAAGCGCTGGCAGGGAAAGACCACCACACGCGAGATCATGTGATATGCCACCAAGACCCTCTTTCCATTCCAACCCTCAGATTCTCAGCCCCAGCCAACCAACCAACGCCGTGCAGCTGGGGAGGTTCAATTAATGTTTTTTTTATAGGAGAGGTTCAAATGTTTTAGTTTCGGTGCGGTGCGGAATGGCCGTGACGCTGATGCGCTTGCAAATTCTCTCGTCCGGAGTCATCGTGCATGCCTGTGCGCCATGCATTTCATTGCGTCCATCCAGAGATGAGCAAGCCCAATCCAACCTTATCCGCCCCCACTCGATCTGATCCCAACGCACATTTCGTCACGCTGCTTGCAAGAATTTCGCAGCTCTCCATCCACCGTCCTTCGTTCCATCTCCCAGAAATCACTGTGGCCGAGTGGAATTGGGGACCCGAAATTTTAGGCCGGCCCCGGAGAAAACCAGAGGACGGAATATTCTCTTCTGCTGTTCTGCAGACTGCAGACGAGGAGCAGCCCCGGCGGCGTACGTACACCTGTGCGGTAAACGCCGCGAGTCCCGTGGAAGGCACGGCCCGACTCGAGAGACTCCGGCGGTTCCGTCACCCACCAGACACCAGCCCACTACCGGCCCCCGGCGCTCGATACATGGGCGCAGTCCACAGTCCGGGCCCCGCGGCGCAGTGTCACCGCCCACCATGATGTAAGCCATCGGTCCATGGACCGCTCCCACGCGGATCTCGCCCCCTCCCCCCGACGAGCGTAACCGCGACGCGAAGTACCCGCCACACCCACACCGCAACTGCACCACCGGTTCGGCGTCCACGAGACGTGGCCCCCACTCTGCAGGCTCTCTAGCCATGTGGGTCCCAGGCTGAAATCTTTTCGTCCATTTCTCAACTCCCTTTTTTTATTTCTCTCTCCTATTTTTTTATTTCTCTCTCCTGAATCCTGATGAGCAGCGAGGAAATCTGCGCCCTTTAACTCGCGTCGCCTCCTTCCCTTTCTTCCCTCTGTTGTGTCCGTCCGTCGTCTGCGTCTCTCACTCCGCCCGTCCGTCCGCCCGTCGTCACCAGCCTCCTCCCTCGCGCCCACCGCCGGGATCCGGCGCCCCGTCTGCGCCCGCCTCGGTCTAGGTACGGGCCCTGCTTCTGATCCGGGCGCCTCTGGTTTGCCTGCCTGCCATACCATGCTTGCGATGAATTCGGCGGTTCGGTTTGGTACTGGGGTCCTGTTGGAATGTTGGGATAAGGCTCTTCGTTTGGGATCCTGGCCGTGTTTTTGGCCGTGGGTGGGCAGGAACTGGCTTGCCTTCGATGAAATTTGGGTGTTCCCCTTGTGATTCGGGCGCTGTTTCGTTGGTTGCTTGTGTGGTGTCACACACTTGAGGGACGGCCTGCGCCTTGCGGCAAACTTGAGTTCCCGAATTTTCCTGGTGGAATTGGGAACAGTCGGGCTAGGGATCTCGCATGGGCGCACCAGAATTGATCCTTTCCGTGGAAATTTTGCCGCTCCAGTCGAAGTTTAGGCGCTTGTGGTTATGAATTAGTATCTAGTTTTAGGCTTTATCCTGATGAAGATAGCCAAGCAGTTCTGATCTAATAAAGCATTATCTTGGCCTGTTTATTCTTCATACAATTTATCATTTGCGTGTAGTTTAGGACACCTGTGCCTCAGGAAGCAATGAAGATCCATTTCGTTGCTGTGTCAATTGCTAATCTCACATGTGTACACATTATTCCTTGCCTAAGGCCCAGGCAAAGAGCTGACGCTTAGTTCTTAGTACATTGTTGAGTGGATAAGTAAGGTGATTTTAATTAGGAAAAGGTGTATCCTTTCGCAACAAGATTGGCTTCAGACTGGTTGATTTTGGACCAAACTGTGGCAAAGGGAATCCTTTGCCAAGGCCCATCCATGTGCTAGTGCTAGCGATCTGTACTGGACAAGGGAGGACCAAGAGGAAAAGTATAGAAGCTAGCTTTGCTTCAAATTCTTTCCTTGCGCTGGTAATTTAGCATTTCTCAAAAGGGTGGAATCATTGGCTCAAGTGCAGAATCATTTGATTCCTTTAATTGAAAAGTCATCTGTTGTTGTTTTCCCTTCTAATCTGACAGATCTGAGATCAGGCATGAGGTGCTCCATGTGAGGCTTTATTTAATTGGCAATGTAGATCACATCTAACATGCTCCATTGATATGATTATTTAATGCCTTTGGTTGATCCACCTGCTTCCTTCTTTTTCTGCCTGCCCGGCCAGTTCTGGATCCCATAAAGTCTATATATAACCTCTCCTGCCTTGCTTTTATTCTCCATTCTGGACTGAAGTTCCATCAGCTTCTCCAAGGAGAGCGAAAGGTCTTGTAGGGGCAAAGCTTCATTTTGCTGGTAATATGGTACTTGGTGTCTCATATCCTTGCCCTTCCCAGGGAGAGTCAATTTATTTTGTTTACATCGTGAGAATCTGGTGGAAATGATCTCATTTCAATACTTATTTTGTAAAACTGGAACCTAAGTAAATCTTCTTTGGTTATGTCTTGCAATATGCAGCTAGATTTACTTACATAAGAAAATGTGTTCCAGTCGACAACTTGTGAATGCATTAGATATATATACATACACATGTGTATTTAGTCCTCGCTCAGTGGTGCAATGGTGTCACAGGCATTTTCTGTGCATACTCTTTAAGGGTTGCTTTTTTCTGTTGCTTGCCATATCTTGAATGATGTATGTTAAGGAATCTGTGGCATGATCTTACATGACATTTCATAAAATTTACTCTTCCCCGCAAAGAATGTAACCATGCCCATTTATGACAGATTTCTGAGAAAATGGCAAGAAGTGCGAGAGCTAGGAGGCATGTGGCTCGTCAGCTCAAGTCCACCCATCCCATTCCTTCATACCGATGGAAGGCAAAGGCGATGAAAAAATCCAACCGGAAGCAAGCGTTGCCAGCCTTGCAAAAGATGGACTGGGAAGATGCCAATTGCTCTGTGTGCATGGAATACCCACATAACGCTGTGCTCATCCTCTGTTCATCCCACGATAAGGGCTGTCGTCCTTACATGTGTGGAACTAGTTACCGCCACTCTAATTGCTTGGATCAGTTCAAGAAAGCCTACACCAAGGGGGCATTGCTTGAGGAAGTTCCTGCAAATAGCGTTGGCACTAATCTGGACTCAGCGCCATTGACTGCAGAAAAAACTGAGTCCATTGACCTTGCATGTCCATTGTGCCGTGGCAAGGTGAAAGGGTGGACAGTGGTAGAACCAGCTCGAAGCTACCTCAATGGAAAAAGGAGAACATGCATGCAGGATGGTTGCTCATTTGTGGGGACCTACAAGGAGCTCCGCAAGCATGTCAAGATGGAACACCCTCTTGCAAAGCCAAGGGAAGTTGATCCTGTCCTTGAGCAAAAATGGAGATTGCTCGAGATTGAAAGGGAGCGGCAAGATGCGCTCAGTACGATCACTGCAACAATGGGCAGAGCCGTTGTTCTTGGTGATTATGTGCTAGACTTGGAGGATGGAGTGGACTTGGAGGATGTTGACAGTGATGCTGATGTTGATGATGGCCATGGGACAGAAAACACTCGTAGGATGCTACTATTTATTATGCGCCAAGTTGCTCAACATCATCAAAACCAAAGGCTTCAGAATGCGACCGGTGCATCTGACAATGCCGAGGAAAATTATGTGGTGAGCAGTGGTGCCAATGGAACCACACCATACTCTTATCCCTTGGAAGGGGAGGATGAGAATGATATGGTTGTGGCCGGAGGCAGAAGCACTGATGTGCTCATTCCAGAGAGGAGGCGTCGCCGGCGCAGGAACCGTGGAAGATTATTTTTAGGTGCTAATTGAGAGGACAGGTGGCCAGGTGGGGTTTAACCGCCATAGGAGTACATACAGAAATGCTTCCCTGGTGCCTGGCATTCATCAATTCCGGCCTCAATTTGCTTGTTCATGATCATGTACCAAGTAGTTATGTTAACATCAGCTCATTGTTTGCCATCAATGTATGTTATCTCACATTCTTTGTTGAAAAGGAAAACACCGCATCCATCTCTTGTGTAGCCTCTATTTCTGTCTACTGATTTAGTTACAGCATTTGTTGGAGGTCGTATTAGATTTGTCTTAAGTGAAACATATCTAATTTGACAAGGTTTATAAAAAAGTATAGCAACGCCTACAATATATTAATTTTATATAATCTTCATAGTGCATTCTTATTATCATGTTTGACTTATGAAAATTCAAAACCACCAAACGGAGGACATACTAGTTAATTACTGTACTGATAACATTCGACACAGGTGTGGTCGCTCCTCTTCCGTCGTCGTTTGTGTTTTAAATGGGGCCAACCCTAGTATTTAGTTTGTGATTTAGCCTGTGCTTACATAAAAAGCATGCACGTTCATGCACCTTGTCATTTTCGGATGAACTTCTCAAAAACAATTATGTGTGCCAACTCAGCAAGTCGCATAATTTTTACTTTTTTTGAACGATCGGAATATGTTTTCTAATTAATCGGTTTCCACGTTACACAGGCAGTAGGCCTTCACAAATCAGCTTTGGCTGTATAGTATCACCAAACCTGCACCGCTGCCAAACTTCCAGTAGAATTTAGTATAGTACCGCTACCAAACTGTAGAAGTAACATTATACAATTAAAATTAATAGCCTCAACATACACTCTCTAACTGATATTCCAGTGACATAACATTACAGTTTTGTACAGCATAATTTTACAGAACATTTACTTCTATATACAGTAGCTAGGACAGCTCTGGAATACCATAGGTCCACGTCCACAGCGGGTCGTCCAGCATGACCACGCATCCAAGTATTGGGTACAATACAACAGCATAAATTAGTCAGCACATTTGAGCTGGCGCACTTTCATGCCACCTCCATCAACACCAAAGATCATCACACTATCAATAGTGGCCGAGACTGCCACACTTTAGGTCATCACATCTCTTGGCAGAATCAGACTTCCTAATGATTGTAGGCACGCCGTAACACACAGGAGATGCGCCAATCAGAAATGGAAGCCTGCAAGCCTGCCTAGCTTCACTTAAATATGAAGCTATTCGCGTCTGCCTGCAGCTGCAGCACTTGGTACTATGATTTATTTTTTGTAGCTCCTTCCCTTGTGTGCCTTGTCTTGTTCTACCTTTGTCCTTGGAAGCAATACTCAGGGACTTAAATTTCTGTGTTAGCTGGCAGCATTTTGAGCAATTGTTGTCATCTAGAATGTCGTCTTGCAACCATGAATTAAGCAAAGCTTTACTAAACCGATCAATATCCTTATCTGAAACATCCCAAAGATTTGCAATGATAGCAGGGGAACCAGCAAATAAATATGATAACGGGGCCCCTTGAGGAGCATAACTCCCTTTGCAATGAAGTGTTCCACTGCTACATCCCATAAGAAGAGCAGCTGCACAGTTATCTGCCTTCTCAATTTCCTTCCCAGAAACATACTGAGTTCCTGCAGCAGTTTTCGGGTTAATTAGATCTCAGACTAGTTATCAACCAGCCATTGTTGTCATTGTCCACATTTACAATAAGGGGTATATGAACAATACAGACTTAGGAATTACTTGTGCTGATTCATATTAATTAATATTAATAGCTACATAAAAGATTGGTCCTCAATGACATTAGACACTTCAGAAAGTTCTTAGCTCTAGCACAAGCAGGATAGTTCCCAGTTATGTCATTGCCAGTATGCTAGTGCAGCCAGCATGTCATATAGCCCAAAACCACAAACTAAACAGTCTACTTTTGTTATGGACTGGGCCTGGGGACCATGGGTTCAGCAGCTCAAGGCCAAGCAACAGCTACACATCAATGCAACAAATTAGATGTGTCCAACAAGGAAACATGTGAAGATTAGATTAGATTAGATTAGTATTGATTGGTCAGATAAGATCATTTAGTTGAATCTGTTAGCTCTGTTTCTTAGGAGCCAGCTTTTAAAAGAAAGGCATATGGCAAGCTCTAGGATTAAGGAAGAAGAAACCTAAAAGCAGTCAGAGTCAGAGCCTCCAGAGGGAGGGCGACTAGCAGTTTCTTCTTGCTATCCATCTACTACTCCCTCCGTTCCAAATTATAAGACGTTTTGGCTTTTCTAGATACATTTCTTTTACCATGTATCTAGACATAGTGCATATCCAAGTGTGTAGCAAAAGTTATGTATCTAGAAATGACAAGACGTCTTATAATTTGGAACGGAGGGAGTACTACCTTAGTCGATCCTTATCATGTTTACTCCATGGTGACGAAAGATTTTTGATAAAAGCTGGGATCAGGGCATTTAACCTAAAAGAACTTAACCTAGGGCTATGCTGGTACTAGTAGATTAGTGATGTGGCCTGCACTATCACACAGTCAAAAAAGAAACTAGCTGTGATGCATCAAGCTACAAATAGGGAGGAAAATAAATCAATTCTAAACAACTAATATGAACCATCAGCTACACCTAGAACCAAGGGAATGAAACTTCAAATAACTAATATATATATATATATATATATATATATATATTATACGTATAGGACATACCACTTCCATGCCCGAAGTACAGGAAAAGGTCATGATTTGTCAAGGCCAAGACCAGCTCGTCAGCCTTTGGAGAACTCCCAGCCATTCCCTACACACCATCATTACATTGTTCATAGTTATATACTTATATTTATTGCATTGTTAATACTCTCTCCATTCCAAACAATAAGATGTTATGGCTTTTTTAGATACATAGTTTTTACTATGTATCTAGACACTAAGTGCATACTGCATAGCAAAAGCTACATATCTAGAAAAGCCAAAACATCTTATAATTTGGAATAGAGGAAGTAGTTATGATAGTGTAATGTGAATTTACCCTCTAACATGAAAATGAAAAGGAAGATGTGTCCTTTTTTAGCGAAAACAGTAGGGGAAGCCCATATTGTGGAAAAATATTTATATAAGAAAAGCAAAAGCAAAAAAAATAAAGAGGTTTCTCTTGAGAAAACAACAGAACTAAACGATGGCCCAGTAGACCCAGCTCACTCCAGGAGAGAGGAAACTGCATTATGCATCCTTAACAAGGACAATGAAAACACAACAACAAAGCCTTTAAGTTCCAAACAAATTGGGGTAGGCTAGAGTTGAAACTCAGCAGAAGCAATCAAGGTTCAGGCACGTGAATAACTGTTTTCCAAGCACTCCTATCTAAGGCTAAGTCTTTAGGTATATTCCATCCTTTCAAGTCTCCTTTTATTGCCTCTACCCAAGTCAACTTCGGTCTTCCTCTGCCTCTCTTCACGTTACTATCCTGGCTTAGGATTCCACTACGCACCGGAAGAGCCCTGTGTGCTCGCTTCAATGTGGCTGCATTTTTGTCAGGTGCAGGTTTTTGGTTCTGTTACAAACTATTGTAATTTCGTTGCTCTCAAGTAATGAAATTCGGCTTGTCCGTAGTGGAAAAAACCCCTCAATTTTAATGCAAACGGTTTGGATAGAAAACCCGATGGATTCTCCATTGATTCTAGCGGTGCATATAGGTGCAGGCAGCTTATACAGCTATAGAAAGAATCAGGGAGATCATTTCCACTAGTCTAGGGGCTAACTATTGCAAGATAGAATCAGTATACAAATATGTATTGTCTGTACGTGGAGTGCAGAATCATTCCCCAATTATTAAGGCTATAGGCGTGGCGAGCCAACGTTAAATCTAGCCATTCTAATGGAGATGAAACCCGAAAGAAAACCGTTGGGGTGTAACCTCTTAGCGACGCGCCATATCGGAACCCGGGTATGGTGTTAAATGAGCAAGGGCCGGGTCGTCACCCCCGTGACTCGCCGTGTCGCGATCTGGGCACGGTGTCAAGTGAGCAAGGATCGGGTCGTCGCATCCTTAGTGGCGCGCTACATCGGCGCCCGGGTGTAGTGAAAAATGAGCAAGGGTCTTCGCATCTGAGTCGACGGGTACGAAGGGTAAGGAAGCTAGTCGAACCAGCTAGGATCCGTTTAGATAGTTGGAATGTAGGGTCGCTTACAGGTAAGCTAAGAGAATTAGTTGATACCGCGACTAGGAGGCGTGTAAATATATTATGCGTTCAAGAGACAAAATGGAAGGGTCAAAAGGCGAAGGAGGTGGACAATACAGGTTTCAAGCTTTGGTATACAACGAAAGACAGTCGCGAATAAAAATGAAGTAGGAGTTTTGATTAATAAGAGCCTCAAGAATAGTGTGGTGGAAGTGGGAAGGCAAGGAGATAAGATTATCTTAGTCAAGCTTATCACTGGTGATATGGTCTTGAACGTAATTAGTGTGTATGTCCCCCAAGTAGGCCTCGACGAGAGTGCTAAGAGACAGTTCTGGAAAGACTTAGATGGCATGATTAGAGCTGTACCTAGTAGTGAGAAACTTTTTATAGGAGGAGATCTTAATGGGCATGTAGGTACTATAAGCGCAGGTTTCGAGGCAGTTCACGGAGGTTTTGGGTATAGTAGTAAGAATCAGGAGGGGGAGGAAGTTCTGGGCTTCGCGGTAGCTTTTGACCTGATGATAGCCAACACTTTCTTTAGAAAGAGAGAATCTCATCTAGTGACCTTCAGTAGCGGACAACACTCTAGCCAGATTGACTTTGTCCTCGCAAGAAGAAAGGACAAACGAGCAAGCTTGGGTTGCAGGGTGATACCAGGGGAGTGTGTTGTTTCTCAACATAAGTTTTTGGTGGCAGACTTTCGTTTTCAGGTGCGTGCCCGTAGACATAAATAAGCTAAGATTGAAAGAACAAAGTGGTGGAAACTGAAAGATGAGACGTCAGAGATATTCAGAGAAAGGGTTATCAAAGAGGGCTCTTGGAAGAAAAAAGATGACATAAACAACATGTGGGAGAAGATGGCAACCAACATTCGAAAGGTGGCCTCAGAGGTGTGTGGAGTAACCAAAGGAAGTGGAGGCGAGGCTAAAGATACTTGATGGTGGAACGAGGAAGTTCAAAGGGCTATTAAGGAGAAGAAAGAATGCTATAGGCGCTTGTAGCATAACAGGAGTGTGGACAACATAGAGAAGTACGAGGTGGCAAAAAAGACTGCAAAGCGAGCTGTAAATGTGGCAAAAGGTAAAGCGTACGAGGATCTTTACCAACATTTGAGTACGAAGGAAGGAGAGAAGGATATTTATAGGATAGCTAGAATTCGTGAGAGAAAGACAACGGACTTCAACCAAGTTAAGTGCATTAAGGATGAAAGGGAGCATCTCTTGGTGAAGGAGGATGAGATCTGACATCGATGGCAAGAGTATTTTAACAAATTGTTCAATGGTGATAATACGGACACAACCTTACAGTTAGATGACTCTTTTGATGACACCAATAGACACTTTGTGCGGAAAATCCAAGAATCTGAGGTCAGAGAGGCGTTGAAAAGGATGAAAGGAGGTAAGGCGATGGGACCAGATGGTATCCCAATCGAAGTGTGGAGATGCCTTGGGGACATAGCTATAGTATGGCTAACCAAGCTGTTTAACCATATTTTTCGATCGAACAAGATGCCTGACGAGTGAAGGAGAAGTATATTGGTACCGATCTACAAGAATAAAGGGGATATTCAAAGTTGTACTAATTACCGGGGAATTAAGTTGATGAGCCATACTATGAAGCTATGGGAGAGAGAGTTATCGAACATCGCTTGAGAGCAATAACGCGGGTCTCTATGAACCAATTTGGTTTCATGCCCGGAAGGTCAACCATGGAAGCCATTTTCTTAATAAGACAAGTTATGGAGCGGTATAGGGAAAAGAAGAAGGACCTACACATGGTTTTTATTGACTTGGAGAAGGCTTATGATAAAATACCAATGAATGTTATGTGGTGGGCTTTGGACAAACATAAAGTCCCAACGAAGTACGTCGGGCTCATTAAGGACATGTACAACAATGTTGTGACTAGTGTTCGAATAAGTGATGGAGACACGGATGACTTCACGATTATGATAGGACTACATCAAGGGTCACCTTTGAGCCCTTATCTGTTTGCCTTAGTGATGGATGAGGTCACAAGGGACATACAAGGGGACATCCCTTGGTGTATGCTTTTCGCGGACGATGTAGTGCTAGTTGATGAAAGTCGGACAGTAGTGAATCAGAAACTGGAGTTATGGCGAGAGACTTTGGAGTCCAAAGGTTTTAGACTCAGTAGAACTAAAATTGAGTATATGAGATGTGACTTTGGCACTACTACTCGGGAGGAGGAAGATATTAGTTTAGAAGGTCAAGTAGTGCCTAGGAAGGATACCTTTCGATATTTAGGATCAATGCTACAGAGAGACGGGGATATTGATGAAGATGTTAGCCATAGAATCAAAGTAGGGTGGATGAAGTGTCGCCAAACATCTGGTGTCCTATGTGACAAAAAGGTACCACAGAAGCTAAAAGACAAGTTTTATAGGACGACGATTAGACCTGCTATGTTGTATGGTGCAGAATGTTGGCCTACGAAAAGACGACATGTTCAACAGATAAGTCTCGCGGAAATGCGTATGTTACGTTGGATTTGCGGTCATACAAGAAGGGATCGAGTTCGGAACGATGATATACGTGATAGATTAGGGGTAGCACCAACTGAAGAAAAGCTTGTCCAACACCGGTTGAGATGGTTTGGACATGTACAACGGAGACCTCCAAAGGCACCGGTGCATAGTGGAATCCTAAGCCAGAATAGTAACGTGAAGAGAGGCAGAGGAAGACCGAAGTTGACTTGGGTAGAGGCAATAAAAGGAGACTTGAAATGTTGGAATATACCCAAAGACTTAGCCTTAGACAGGAGTGCTTGGAAAACAGCTAGTCACGTGCCTGAACCTTGATTGCTTCTGCTGGGTTTCAACTCTAGCCTACCCCAACTTGTTTGGAACTTAAAGGCTTTATTGTTGTTGTTGTTGTTGATAGTTAGCCAGGATATATTCTTAACAAAGTTAAATATAAACCACATACATATTTCAAAAGACACGTATACTACATCAACAAAACTTCTGTACACCATACACACATTTCATAAGACACGTATACTACATTTCAAACTTTTACTTTGAACAAAATCTTTTTTTTTTTCAAACTCTCATCTGAGCATCCAGTGAAAGAAATTTTGACAAGAGATAATTAGTTTGGAGAAAGGAGCCAATTTTTTCAAATATAATTACCAATTAAGTTTTGGCAAGCCATGTGTTTACCTTCCACTCGTAGTTTCTGAATAACTGATCAAATTCTTCTTGTGTGCTGCTCAGGTCACCACTAGGATTCAACAGATAAAATGTATCGGAAGGATTTATGACAGGAAAAGGAGAAACTGTGCCATCTTTGTAGTGATTATGGGTTCGAGATAATGCTAAAAAGATGCTACCCATTGATGGCATGCGATAAATTTCTTGATTCCTTAGTACAGGCAAGTTTTCCCAAGGAAGCATCTGCAGTTAATAATTGAAGCAGGTGAGGTCACTGAAGATGTAGTAATGGTGCATGCTACATACATGGTTGTTACTGACATAAAAGTGCTAAATAAACAGCACAAAGACTGCAAGACATCTATAATACAAAGGAAGCAATAAGTTAGCAATTGCCTAGCAGCACTAGGTGCTAATTTGACTGGGACATTTACAGTGCAAATTGTAGCCATTCAAACAGACCATCTCACAGCGTCTAGTGATCTACCAGATACCACCAAAGTAAACTGAATATAACAGCATTAGTCAAGTAACAATTCCATCCAGAGTTCTAGACTTACAATCCAGATGAAAAGTATCAAGAAGACAACTGCTTGTAAAATTATTAAATCACATAGGAAATAGGTAACAGTCAAGCTATCTTGTTGCTCACCTGAACATTGATGTCAAGAACTAAAATAACTGGATGTCTATTGGCTGGCTGAGGCAGCTCATATACTGCATCTGTTATTAAACATTTGAGTGTCTTCAAAGATTCATCATCCATTTGGCAGGAAGAGAAAGCTCTAAGCCTATCTTCCCCACAGCACCCTCCCCTTCCAAAGTAACCTTTATACAAAATGAGTTGGAGGAAACATTCTTGTACTTCATCCACTGACACAGCACCACCAAGGATAGCCCTGATGAGCACTGGATTGGCTTCAAATTCGAATTTTGTATCCAGATCAGTGATAATACTTGATAAGGCAGCCTCAATGTGTTCATCAGATAATCGATGGCCCAACAGAAGGCATTTCCAGGGTCCAAACCAAGAATCTTCAATGTCTCTGTTCAAAAGAATGAAAATGATATCATGAAAAGAAACATTATCTTGTGTTGACACCACCAAATTCCAGCAAATGAACCAATTTAAACTTTGATATGCATAGGTAACCTTACTTCAGTGTGTTAGCAAGGTAATTGTTGAGCTGCTTTCTATGCTCCCACCACCTGACATGATCTGCTTTTACATCATTTGTAGTAAAGGTTGCGCCAGAGAGGGACATAAAATTCTCCGCAAGTATATTTTTAAAAATTGGGGCCACATGGTCTGTAATTCCATAGCCCCAAGGGCACCGCCAGTTATCTGACACTCTGATTGGATTGCCCAAATCTTTGAAGGAATCTTCAAACTGCATTTCTGTTAAGCAAAGACAAGTAAATAAAAATATAAAAGATCCAAGATTAGGTTTAGCTATGGATCTGTATGGTGTATGCAATCACAATATGTAATCTACACACCTGAAATAGCATCAACTGGAAGAAGCAATGTAGTAGACATGCTTGCTGGCTCAAACCTTGAAAGCAACATCCAAGCAGGAAAGAAGGGAGGATGCCGAAGAAATTTCAAAAGGGCATTAACATAATCACCTCCAAGCATACTAATACACAGAACTGGTACATCAGGAAGTTTTTGGAAAAATTCTGTCATATGGTTCTCGATATGTTTAATGTCCACTGACGAAAACCTGATAAAGAAATTCAGATTTTAGTTTTACTACACATTTTCAAATGCAAAATTATCACGAGTTCAGCTGCTACATAAAATTTTGAACCTGAGAAATTCTGAAACATCGTCATCCGTCTCATTTCTGAAATCTTCATGGGTGCCCTGAAAACGTGAGCAGATACAAATAAAAGATACAGAATAGGAACTGTTCTAATCCGGCTCTTAACTTGCTAAGGTACAAACCTTTGGAACTTTTTCCTCGGGCAATGCTTGTAAGCTAGCAAAGTAATGACAATTGAGATAAGTTCCTACAGAAAATTGATGAAAGTATGCGGCCCAATGATTCAGAGAATGAGATCCTTTATAAGAACCCAAAGGCGACTGAATTGAGGGATCTGCAGTTGATATCAAGAATATGCACGCAAGTAACTTGGAAACCTACAATGGGCAATTCAGATTTTAAGACAGAACCCCCGAGCAGTAAAGCAAGCATATAGCTAATGATTAAAGAAAATGATAACCAGACTGTTTAACAGACAATAGAATGAGTACATGTTCACTAAGCATTATGGGTCTGTTTGGCTGCTTGCATTAGCCTGTATCTAGGTTTGTGCAATGCAGTTGGCCAGTGTATGGTCGCGCACAGAGGTTTTGATGCAGGCTTGTGTTGTGTTTGGTTGCCCTCAAAGAGGTTCTTATGCAGGCTTGTGTTTGGATGACCGCAGAGGCCCATATGCAGGCTTGCGCAGTGCTCAAAGCAGGTCCAATGCAGCATTAGGTAGTATGCCATACTTGGTTGTATTAGGTAATGCAGGTTTGCACGAGTCAATGGGGCACACAAAAATGAAATACTCTCACCGCCCCTGCCTCTACTAGAAACATGAGACCTCTACTAGAACATGGAGGTGGCCGCATGCAACACAATGCAAATAACCAAACACAGCTTGCTTGTGCAGAACAACAAAACACCAAAACATTGCGTCCATTTATGCTGGCTTGGTTTGTGCTGCACAAGGTCTAATGCAAGCAACCAATCACACCTATAGGTAGTCCACAAAACAATTGCACAAGATAACATGACTCAACAAACCTCCTGCACAAGTGAGGGACTCTCTCTGGATAGAACAAAAGCTTTAAGCAGCCAGGGAACAACGTCAGCCATTTTTACACTAAAGAAGCTGCAGCAGATGTCCCTGCAGAAAAGTATGATGAAATGAGCGACAATTTAGCAAGAATCATGAATTGCTACAACCAGAATGTTATATATGCATGTTGCGTAATGGGCACTTGATGAAACAAACCTTGATTGTTCAGAAAGGGAGATTTTTAGCAAGAAGAAGCTCATACTGCACAGTATTTCTGCACACTCTAAATGAAGAAAGTCGCCAATGCTCCCATCCATGATTAGTTCAATTAAATAAGGCCCATAAGTCCTACAGCAACCCTCTGGAAGGGATCTGAAGAACAAAAGTGATATGCACTTCCAATAGACACTATGAACTTCATGATCCTCATAATGGCCACTGTGAGATCCCAAAGCTCTAACTGCAAGAAAGGGGGAAAACGTAGCTGAACCAACAGATAGCTCGATTACAGGAATTTGATCAAACTTTTTAAGCAGGATCACATGCAAGTATCCAGCATAATAATAATCACATGGCACAGCACATTTTGCAGCATCACAAGGTCCTCCATTGGTATTCATAACAAGACGGAAGGTTCTTACAACACAAGTGTAGATTAACATATATTTCCATTAGCTTGTGGGAATAATATAATAGCCCGCCGCTGCCTGTGAAGCAATGATACTACATACTCCCTCCATCCCAAAATAAGCGCACATCTCGCACTTCGAGGACTCAATCAATTTTAAGTCTGACCTAATATATACAAAAATGTACTGATGTTTTATGATACTAAATAGACTTTAAATAACATGTGGTTATTTGAGAGAATAGAGGACCAGCTGCTTATCGCATTAACTATCTGAAATTCACACGATGTTGTAATGAATTAACCAAGATTTCCCCAGCAATATTTTACAGTTCTCTAATTGTTATTTACACCAATACCCTACTATTTTGGTGTTAAAGTTAAACCAAGTCACAATAGCATGCCAACCTGAAAACCCATGCTATTACAATATTCATGTGACTTTCATTGGTAAGCAACTTTTGTGCAAATCCAACATACTCCCTCCATTCCAATGTATAGGTCATTTTGGCTTTTCTAGATACACGACTTTTCTTATGTATCTAGACATATTGTATATCTAGGTGCATAACAAAAGCTATGTACCTAGAAAAGCCAAAAAGACTTGTAATTTGGGACAGAGGTTGGTGCCATTTAGTAGCAACAACAACAACAGCAACATAGCCTTTCAGTCCCAAGCAAGTTGGGGTAGACTAGAGTTAAAACCCACCAAGAGCCCCAAGTCACGGTTCACGCACTTCAATAGCTGCTTTCCAAGTACTCCTATTCAAACATAAATCTCTAGGTATATCCCAAGCTTTCAAATCTCTTTTTATTGCCTCCCCCATGTCAATTTCGGTTTTCCTCTACCTCTCCTCGTATTATTAGCTTGGCTTAGGACTCCACAATGTACTGGTGCCTCTGAAGGTCTCCTTTGGACATGGCCAAACCACCTCAACCGATGTTGGACAAGCTTTTCTTCAATTGGTGCTACCTCTAGGCGATCACGTATATCATCGTTCCGAACTCGGTTCATTCTTGTGTGACCGCAAATCCATCACAACATATGCATTTCTGCAACACTCAGTTGTTGAACATGTCGAATCTTTATAGGGCAACATTCTGCTCCATACAACATAGCCGGTCTAATCGCCGTTCTATAGAACTTGTCTTTTAGCTTTTGTGGTACCCTCTTATCACAGAGAATGCCAGAAGCTTGTCGCCACTTGATCCACCCTGCTTTGATTCTATGGCTAACGTCCGCATCAATATCTCCATCCCTCTGTAGCATCGATCCCAGATACCGAAAGGTATCTTTCTTAGGCACTACTTGACCTTCCAAACTCACATCTCCCTCCTCCAACCAAAAACAGCTGATTTTTAACATTTTTCAGACAAACTAGTTAGATCTCCAGGGTACAGTGTAAATTCATACTGCAGCTATTTTATTAACTATGATTTTAGTATAAAAAAGACTAATATTAACTGGCTGAACGCTGGGTGTTCAGAGATGTGGGAAAGTAAAGTCTTGGTCACAAACACGTTGCAAAACTTGTTAAACTCGTAATTTTATTGCTTCCCAGTAATGAAATTCGGTTTTACTGTTGTGGAAAAAAATATTAACCAGAACCTGCTAATATGTAGTGAAATGTTAGCTATCAATTTTTCATCTTACTTGAATAAATGTGCAAAATATACAAATAAATCAATGAGTCTCAAGGTACACCCATACATTAAGTATAATAACTATTCTGCAAACATTTTATCCTACATAACTAATGTCAAGCCAATGATTGCATGTCTCATCTTCAAGCCCAGAAACAGAACACAGAAAGATAAATTAAGAAGAAAGTACCTGTTTTTAACAGAAGTGGCACAAGGTAGCGGCGGCGAACACAGTCCAATCTCAGCTGCAAAATACTCTGAATGCACTCCGAATTCAAGGATTTAACCAAAAGGCAGCTCCAACAACCAAACATATTGCATAAGTCATCTTTGCTGTGATTAATGCCATCAGGAAAACACTCTGCTTCACCAGTAAACCAAAATATCTGCAGCCAATTCATCACTCCAAGATATGTTATTTTTACTATTTAGCTCAGTTAAAACCTTTTCAGTTTTCATATGTGCATTACGCTTACTAGAGCGAGTTCTAATCTTCGCAACAGTCTCTATATTCTGTTCCTTGGCTAAACGTGATGAATTTCTCGATGGCCTCTTAGCTTTAGCATCTAATGGTGGACCAGCTTCAGCATTCCCTGATCTTTTTCTTCGAACTTGTATTGCCATGCAAACACTACATGGAGATAACAATCCGTCCTTTGAAGTTGCGGGTTCTTTCCGACAAGTATAAGCTTCATGTTTGATCGGTATTCTACAGTCTTTGCTGCACACAAGACAACCAGTTTTATGTCTACCATTGGACCCATTAAAATATTCCAAGTCAGTGCTGTTCAATTTCTCTATTGCACATCGGTACATGCCTAAAGCATTAGACAAATCAGCTGTCGACTGTTTCTGGAAATTTTTTTCAAATAGACTCCAAGACAGGTCACCAACTTGCACGTCAACTGATATCTCCAAATTTAACTTGCAGATTTTACATGAAATGATTGCATCATTTTTCACAAGAAGATCTCGGGCATGATTAAACTCACTCTCCGCTTCATCCCATAGCTGTCGCTTACGGTATAGTTGACCTGAACAAATTCCAAGGATTGTGAGATAGAAGGAACAGATGATCAAGAATTATGTTTTCCTAGAAACGGTGTAAAACTATACAGAAAACTGATAAACCATGGAAATAGAATATATATATACCTAGAAATGATGTAAAAACAATACAGAAAACTGAAAAACCATGGAAATTTGATATCTCTTTTCCTGTCCGTAAGAGAACTTCTGCTTCAGCACCATTGCCAATCAATTCGTACATCATAGCGACCTGTAAACATAATTTAGTGAGAATCATGCATAAAGAAGTCATTATACTGTTGCCCGTAGTTGTGGTAATATACAACTCCAGCCCCCATTCAATTGGTTCCAGTAGCATACTTCTCTATGTATTAAATTACCTTATGCTACAGTATCGCAATACCTGTAAGGTGCTCTCAAGGTAGTATCTAAGTACACTCCATGGAGTAAGGAAAGAATCTCTCATGCTGGCTGATCTGCTGGAATCTGGCCAAAACTCAACTACTGTTGGGCCACGCACTTCAAGAGAAAAGTCCTGCCGGCAAGGTTGGCTTTCCATATTCCCAGATATGCCCGATTTGAGTTTGAACTTCTTTTTTAGGAGCTTTTTACGCAAATTGAGGGCTTCTTTTCCGTATGAAAAGGCCTGTAAAAACAAAACATTTGATGTGCTTACTTACACAAAAGCTACAGTATTGACCAACTACAAAATCTAGAAGCAGTTCATGTCATCATGTGAACTGAAGATTGTGCACCAATGTTTTGCAGGAATTAAACATCAAAGCTAAAGTGTTGAAAGCGAGAAAGCGTAGTTACCTGGAAAAGTTGTCCGCGTGAAAAAAGTCTTTCTGACAAGTCATAGTATAAACAGCTAGCTAGAAAGATTGATTGGTCATTAGATGTAACCTGCAAAATACAATAAAATAATTTGAGAGAGAATAAGAGATCATGGTTACTAATTTGATGCAATGCAACTAACAGAACTTACTTCAGAAACCAGAGATGAGGCAGCTTTGCTGACGTCATCAAAACTGAGCTGCTTTCCAAAGGGGTGCTTACATGATTGAGGAATAAATAAGTCACTAGGCAACATCCTCTGAAGAAACATAGAGAGAGAAGGATTGTCTCCTTCGAAACCTTTTATCCAAAAATTAATATGGTGGCTATGTACATCAAGATGATCTGCGGCAATAGAAAGAAATCGCTCATCCAGTGGGAGATAACAGCATGCATGACTAAGGCGCCCATTGGTCACCAGCGAGGACAACAACTTTTCAAGGGGTAATTTTTCTTGCTTCCATATCACTATCATAACCTTGCACAACTTAAACTGAAGCTCAAAACGGCCCTGAGATGGCAGAGTAAACATGCATGATTATGTTGCTAAAGGAAAGCAATTGCATCTCATCCAACTTAATAAACTGAAGATATATCATGGCCCTACCTTCATAGACAACAGATCAACCAAAAAACAAATAAGTGGTACAATAGTTTGTGATGGAGGTTGCAAGACCATGTCAGGAGAAGAATGATCGAAAGTCCCCATCTTCAACCACAACTTAAGTGCTTTCTCAGCATTATCAAATATTACCTATGCAAAATAACAATAATGACACTAAACATAATTAGATAAAGCATAACCATGTTATACTAAACATAAACATGAGTGTGCTCGTATCGCTTATATGAACACTATACACTAACATGGGTAGGGTTTGAAGCGGTTACCTCCCCACCAGGATTGTCTTCCTGAGCGCAATGTGCATACAAGCAGTATGCAATGGCCAATTGATTGTTTGCAGTAGTGCTGGCATCAGATGAATCCTCTGAGATCTTTTGCTGGTTAGATGAACAAACATTAATCTATAACTCCCTTTCTTTGTAAATAAGAAAAGGCAGTATGGGATCCAAACTCACCAGTAAAGATATGGCATCATGTAAAGACTCAAGGCAGCTTTTTATGTTTTCCACTCCAGATGCACGAAGTGCACCTGCCTTTCTTACAAGAACCCTTGATCTCTCCAAAAAATGCTCTTTCGAACAGTAAATTTTATGCAACAGAACATCTATGATCCTTATCTGCATTTTAGAGCAGAATTCTGTGCTTTGGGCTTCAGTTAATCCATATGCTAGTAACTCCTGCAGAATATTTTTTTCCCAGAGTAGTTAGCCCCGACAACGGAAAACTACAGATACACCAAATTTAATCAAACAAAATAAAATATGGTACCTGCTCTACTATTAAGCCTATCAGCTTAATTGGCCATGGAGACCGATTTTTCAAAAGAGAGGGATAGAGAAGTGGAGCACCATCCACCTTATTATCCCCAAAATCTTTGTGTACGACCTATAATTTAAGAAACATAATATAAGTTACACTAACATAATAAGTGTTTAAAAAAAGCAGAATTATTTTTAGTTAGTACCTTAACCCACGCCTTGATCAGTATAAAAGAACCTTTGAAATATTCAGAATTGTCGCAGTCAGACAACAATTCAGACAAGCTCTTCGCAACAATCCCAAGTGTTGTTTCTATTTCTGTGCCGCATCTACGTAGAGTGTCAACCATCTTTGCAATCCTTGCAAATGCATCCAAAATGATATCCATCGAAATGCTGTTTCCTTTTGGCCTTGAGGATAGTCCACAGTAAGAAAGCCTAACGTGCGCCCATATTGTTTGGCAGCACAGTTCTAAAGCCTTTGGTGCCTGAAGGAGAGACAGCAATATTCACTTCAATGGTAGCTCAGAAGGGGTTGTCCCAAAAAAATAGAAGAAAAGGAAACTTAGAAGGAATACCTCTTTAACATGTCCAGTGTTATGAAGTGTCACTCCAATGTTGCTAAGTGAAGGTATCAAGAATTTGAGCTCCTCAGGCGCTAACCATTTACTTGAAATGGCACGGACGATGAAACCCAAGCTCTTCTGGACTATGCAAGCAAAAGGTGTTAATGGACAATAAGGATGGTGATACAGAGCTAGAAACAGCAAGCGACTCAACGGCCATTTTCAACAACTAGCAACTGTATATAACCAAGCAGATTTACTGATCACTATATCTTAACAAAATATTAATTCTCGGCATAAATATTAACAGCATGATATAACCAGGGATTTTGTAATTGCACTAGGCGCAATGGCAATGTAGCAGTCTAACATAAACACAGGAAACACACTAGAATACCTGGACATCTTTCTTGGTAACAAAGGAAAATTTAATCGCGGATACAAGGACTGTCAGTAAGGTTCCATGTTGTTTATGCCGTCTCTCGTTGTCTCCTTGAGACATTTGCATACAGCTGTTACAGCACAAATGACAAAACATCTTGTGAATATATCTTCCTTGTCTGTTCCATAAACAATAAGGACATAACTTCTACAGTAAGCATGCATCAATAAAGGTTCTCACATTTCACTAATTACAGTGCCAATACTTTATCTTATGGACCTACCTAAAAGACACGAAGTTGGAATCGACGAACTGATGCAATGCTGTCAAGACATAGTTCATGTTACCAGAATAATGGGTTGGTTTTCCTTCAGAGAAGTTCTTCCAAAGTGTATCCACTTGCTGTAATAATACCTTGCTAATAAACTCCAAAGAGTCCAAGTATGTGACCAAAGATGTATTATCATGTGGCCATCGTGCTAATGTGCCAAGAGCTTTCTCTAAAGCATGTAGGTACTTTTGATCCTTGGGAATACCCACAGATAAATAGGGTGGTATTTCATTTTCTGCTTGCTGGGCATTCAAGTATAACCCAGTCGCATAAAGATGAAGCATTGATGCAGTAGGAGAGGAAACCTATACATCACATGAATTTACACAAATCAAAACAAATGTGCACCAACATGGTATCTTAATGGGAATTCAGCGCTTAAAAGATAATACAGCAATGTACCTCAGAGAAATAACCACTTTGTTTATAAAGTAGTTCTGATGCGCCAACAGATAAATCCCGTTTGGCAGAAAGAATGAACCGACAAAAATACGCCACAAATACCAGAAGCTCATTTACAGATTTCGGTAAATCATCCTGAAAATGCTTTACATTACATACAATAGGTAATAATGTCTTGATGATAAAAGACCCATTAGCCGTTATTTATATCTTGATGAACTTATTAGTGTGATAGGATCAAGAGCAGAGAACATTAAGTAGGTGGTGAGCTCAATACAACTAATAAATGGGATGCATAAGCACATCAGAAATCTACACCATATTACTCAGTTATATCTGTACACAATGACCTATCTCATCAGAAATTCGGAATCATAAAATATAACAAGATAAAGAAGGAAATCAAGATTATTTAAACAACACCCCTATAGTACATGAAGGCCAAATTAAGTCTCAACACTATAAAAAATAACTGATTAAGTACTAAATTCTAACACTAAGATCATGGTACTGTAATATGGTATAGTTGGAACAAAGTAATCCAACAACTATACATAGGAGTCTAATCCAACGTATACAAGATGGTGAAAAACAGGGCTCCTTAAGATTGTTTACAAGTTGAATCTATGCAGAAGCTCAACTAATATTTCAGAGCATTCCACAACATCTGCACATCTCTCCACTCGCACATCTCCAAAACTACAGAACCGTACTTATATTCAAAATTTTGAAACTAATGACCTACACATCTAGTTTAGCACAAGCAATGTATCATTTTTGTTTTTAAGTTTGGCAATTCATTGCATGTTCTTTTGGTGTTTGCCATTAATCACTGTAACTATTGAATTTAGCATGATGCCATGATGTAACATGCTTCTGAAGTTTGGTGAAATTCAACATTTTTCACTGGGTGCATTTGTAGATGTTTTAAGTGTCCATACAAATACATACCCTGCACAAAATTCGTTAATGTTATGAGCAAAAAAAAATCATTTGTCCCGCATGTGCAAAAGCCAATCTGTATTACTCCTGATTAATGACCGATTATATCTTCATGCCTAGTATTTGCTAGTTGTATAAGGAGGAGGTTTTTGTATATTTGCATAGACCTTTACGTGTATGTATTCAGCCCTAGAGCCCCTGTAATGAATAACAGTGCTACTCATAACAATTGAAAGGTGCACAGTAGAGAAATTACAACAGACTTCCAGTAGCATGAGTAGCAGGAGATTACCTTTACACGTACAACAGAATCAATGACAGTTTCAAGCACGTGGAGCAAAAGCTGTGTGCTCCCTTCCCAACTGAAGTCTACAGAAGAGCAAATCTTGCGAGCAATCTGCAGCCAGGAAAAACAGTATCAAAATTAACCGAACAATCTAAGGCTCCAATTTGCAGAACATCGATAAGGCAATCAATTTCATAATGACACATACTGCTGGCAAATGCTCGATCATGCCCTCTTTCACACACTCTTGCACTGTGTGCCGACAGAATCCACGAACTAGATCACTACTGAAAAATGAAGACTCAGAAACCAGAAAGAAAGTGCACCGGCTCATGCCATTCACAAGCAGCAGGAGATACTTCCTCCTGGCTTCATTAGTAAGAATACTGCACACAAAAACATAAATTCCTGATAAGCCCACTCAGTATCTCTCTTATTTGATGAATCCTAAAACAAAATTGGTAATCTCACCGAAGCCATGGTTTTAGCTGCTTGAAAAGGCTGAGAAGTCGTTCGTAAGGGGCAGGTTCCTTCACCTTGCCCTTGCTGGAACAATTGGCAAGGCAGGAAGTGAGCTCGACCGCAAGTACGGTGACTTCAGGATCCGTGCCAGCCTCCCCAGCGCTGCCAGGGTCCGGAAGGAGGACCGAATCAACGCTTGCAGCACCACGTCGCGACTTGGTGCTCGTGGTGGGTGGAGAGAGCGCGGAGCGGAGGGCGTCGAGGGTAGCGGCAGCCTCCGCATTGGCGCGTGCGAGGTGGCCGCGCGACTCGAGGCAGCAGACGAAGCGGCCGCGATGGAGCAACACGGAGTAGGGCTTCCCCGCGAGGCAGGGTGATATGGCCTGCAGGCAGTCCAAGAGGAGGCCGTAGATCTCAAACAGTTCGTCGGCGGCCTCGCCGCCCTTGTCGCCCGAGCCAGGACTCGCGCGGACGAGCGGCGGGAGGAGGTGGAGCGCGCGGCTGAGAAATGGGAGAAATCGCTTCGCGAGGGGGCGGAGGGTGGCCGCGTCGGGAGGCGGCGGCTGCTTGTTCTCCTTCGTCCCCCTCTTCTGCGGTGGCTTGGGGTTAGGGTTTGAGCTGGGCAGGTAGGGGGCGAAGGGCTGTAGGTAGGCGGCGAAGCGAGAGTGGAGGCCGGCGTAGGAGGACGGGGACGAGAGGACAGCGACGAGGTCGGCGGCGGCGGCGGCCTCCATTGCCGTCTAAGGTGGATGAGCGGAGAAGCCAAATTGGGAAAATTTGCGGTCGTATTTTGGGATCTCGGGGGTGGGAATGGGCGGGAAAAGGCGACTTATTTGGGAGCTGGGAGTGCCAACTTTTTTACTTTTTACCCTTTTTTTGAAAAAAAATCACAAATATACCCCCTAAGGTATGATTTCAAAATCCGAACCCTTAGCCCGGCGCCATCGTTGCTGGCGCCGAGGTCTTGGGATCGACGCAGACGTGGCGGTGACTTGGCAGCCATCTCGGCGTCGTAGATCCTGGCGCCAAGCTTGGCGCCATAGATCTTGGCGCCAATATCTATGGCGGCAAGGTGGTGTTTTAACCCGGCTCCCAACATTTCTGTCTGAACCTTCTTCCTCTTTTTTCTCCTCCCTCTCGGGTTTTTCTCTCCCCACTTCGCCCTACCTCACGAATCGGTATATTGGACCTTGAAAATATTAATTTGATCCGTAGATCTTCTAGAGCAAAGTATCATCGCTCCCCTTCTAGTTTTTTTCGTATCGATTCGGTAAATATTAGTCGGATTTTTCAACCTAAGAATCGTCATTACTTAGGGTTTCATGTAATTTTTAATATTTATATTATACAACCGTAGGATGCCAAGGCGTGAAAAAGCTAGCAAACCAAGATAACATCAGTGCATGTTGTTATGTTATGGGTTCATTATTGTGCATCAAATGAGAACCCCTAGATTTAGGGTTTAATGTTAATTGCTTTCGGTTCTTAAAACGAAATTGATTGAATTGTACTTATGACCGGATGACCGAAAATGCCTTCGACCCATTGCCTCTGCCTAGTGGCGTTTCAGTGTCCATGTGCTTTTACGACGATCCTTACAAGGTAGCCGAGTCCGATGAAGAGGACACGTATAGACAGAGGTATTGGATGTGTTCCCATTTTGCGTTTGAGCCTACACTTCATCAGCGCCACATTAACGAGATGGTGAGGATTTAATGTTTGTGTCATATGACATCTTACGTGTTTTTTATTTTGTAACAATTGTATTTTTTGCAGACCCCTCCACCGCTCTGTGATTTTGAGCAGTGGATCGACACTGAGATCAAGCCCGAAGATAAGAAATGGATGCAGAAACTATTGCGGTGGGAGGCAGAGGACAAGAAGATGATGGAGAAGAGACGCGGAGAGGAGGCTGCAAAAAAAGAGCACAAGGAAGAGGAGGAAAGAAGACGTGTTACTACGTACAGAGAGGAGAGTGAGAAGAAGCTTGAGCGTGCACACCGAGCGAAAGTAGCGATGGAGGAGAATTTCGATGCCCTGAGGAATGGAAAGTGGCCTCGTTGCACTCAGTAGTTTTCATGACTTGCTAGTTCTATGGTTTATTCATGAACAATGTTATCTACTGTCGGCACGTACTTCTAGTATTATTGTGTTGTTTAATATGTCATAGTATTGGACTTTTCATTATGTAGTTGTTTTCATTATTTGTGGTCATAATATTCAGTATAATATTGCACTCGTAGTGAAATGTGACCACGTGCTGCAAACACAACCTAACAAAGTAGGGCATTATATAATTCAACACACAAAACATATGAAATGGCACGTGAAAACATGTACCGAACTAGGGTACAGAGTTCCTTCGACTAAACCTAACATGCCTTAGGTAATTAAACCAAACAACAAACACATGAATGTGCCATATGAATAAGATAGGGTCACCCTAGTAGTGTGGCCACATAGCAAATTGTGTTGCACCTTCTCCACAGTAGCCTCCCATTGTTTTTGGTGGTGGTGGCGGGGGTGACGACGGAGGCCCCTTGTTCTTGTGGTTATGGCAGGTGCAATATGGATCGTTGCAGAGTATCTCCTATGAATCAGCATCATTGTTGTTGTCATCCTGTTCGTCATCCTTGTAACCGCTACTAACTTCTCTTTCTAGATCGAAGATACGGTCCTGCAGGTAGTAGATGTACTCCGCATATGGATAAATAGGTCGAGGATCGACCTACCTAGTGAATCCATAGTTTTCTTCGGCCAAGGAAGACTGCAATAAGTATGTCATGTAAGTTGTATAGAAGAAGAACATATTGAAAAAATAAATAGTAATAGCAATTACCCATACTCGCGGGCATTTAAAGAAACGACGACCTCCATCTATTCCCTCGGTGAACATCTGCACTAGGCAGTCCTCACCATGCATGCATTTTGGCCACTCTTATTTCCGTTCATCGTATCATCTCAGTGGTGCCTCTTTGGTAAAATCACTTTTGCTCTCAACTGGAAACCTCTCATAAAGAGCTTCCTCAAAGAAATCAGGACCAAGAGAACCCTCCCACACAATGGTAGTTCCCGTTCCCTTTCCTCTTCCTCTGGATGACCTTTCAGACATTGGTACTGCAACGAAAGAAAATACTAGTTAGGAAGTAAGTAGCAATAGAGGCGGGTTTAGTTGCCGTTTCAATGTGTTATAATTGGTCACAAGAAGTCTAATTAGTTTTACTGAATAGCTTATTTCAATGGACACTGAAAAGCCTAGATTCGTTTCCTGAAAAGTCTATTCATCGTTGACATGATAAATCACTGAAAAGCCTAGATGTTATAGGTGTACTATATAAGTGAAGTGATATATCGCTACTGTCATCGTACTCCTCGTCCTTGTAACTGAATAGTCTATTTTCATTATCTAAAAAGCTTAGATTCGTTCACTGTTACTGAAAAGCCTACATGCTATAGGTGTACTATGTAAGTGAAGTGATAAATCATTACTGTCATCATCATCCTCGTCCTTGTAACTGAAAAGTCTATTTTCATTGTCTGAAAAGCCTATATCCGTTCGTTGTTACTAAAAAGCCTAGATTCATCTACAAAGCGTATGTACGATATGATTGGACTATATAAGTTCTAATGAATTTATATTTAATCTGTGTATTACATTTGTGCCTTTTTAGCAGTGTAGTATAATTAATGATTCACGAAAAAAATTCACAAGAGTTTCCCTTATTTCAGGAGCATCCAAACATAATATGTCCTGCATAAAGCATCCAAACATTTAATCGTCTAAAGAGCACAATACAACCACATCGAACATCACAATCAACATAATATGTCCTGCATAGTCCAAATAATCCACAATGTCCATACAGTCCAAAATAATTATAGGAAAATAACTACTAAATCCATAATAGTACATACTAACATCTACCACAAACCCTTGTTGTTTCCTAATCTTACACTTACCTTTGTGACCAAGAGCGTTGGTACCTAGAGTGTAAGGGTCAGGTGGACGGCGTCGCCTAGTGCCTGGAGGCTGTGTAGACTGAGTCAAGGGAGCATCTTGGAGCTGAGAGGGCCAAGCTCCTCGTACCTCTGGTCCACATCATCCTCGTCCTCGTCCTCGTCCTCGTCCTCGTCCTCGTCCCCTGTAGGTGCTTGGCTAGAGGAACCTAAGCCTCCTCTATCCGTGAAAGGAAAGTACAAAAATATATAAGCAGATCTTTGGTTATATTAATAAACCCAGCAGGAAGACTATGTTAAACACTTAAACCATTCGTGATGCAAGAGTAGCTCATCACCAACCATAAGATACTATACCACTGCTTCTCTGCCCACCTCGAAAGGGAGGAAAATGATTGGCCTGGGCACACAGAGGCGGCAACCGACAGGCAGCAGCTCAACTGCGGTAATTGTTGTACGAGTCCAATTAACAAGGAGCGTGGCGCATGGCGTTTTCCAATGGACAAGTAACTAGTGAGCCGGTGAGACGCCAGGAGGATGGATGCTTTCATCTGATGCTTCACTTCCTAGTTTGGCAACCACTGCCGGAGACCGGGCGATGCGATGTCCGAGGACGACTAGAGCAGTAGGTGCAGTACGCAGCTTCTTAGGATATCAAGGCCCGTCCGGCTCCCCACAACCATGCCACAGGGGTTGCCTCCCGCCGTCTCCAAGGGCCAACGCAACGTGGCCATGTGGAACAGAGGCTGGAGCCGTGCAGGCAGAGGCAGGTGCAGGAGCACGTAGCGCCGTAGCGACTATCGCGCGTGCTGACAGCTGAGCAGTGGCAGTGGCAGTGTGAAAGGTCTTTGTGTGGTTTTAGTAATTGAGTGACAACCTAGGTGGACTAATTATGTTTATGTAAGATACACAGGTGATTAGTCCACAGGTACATGTACGTGAGCAACATATGCCATGAAGGTAAAGATGGCGTGGAGATGTTGCAGAGCTCACACATGTGACGATGAATGAGCTTATTGCACATGAGACATGACATTGACTCATGTGATCAAGGTGGAGAAGATCAAGACAAGACTTGGCTTGATGAACCGGTTGCAAGCGTGAAGGGCAAGTCGAAGGCTTTGGAGTGATGGACCGCGTGGTGGTGAAGCTTGAGCAAGACTTGGCGCCGATGGACGATGGCAACGGTGAAGAGCAAGTGAAGTCAAGATCGATGAACTAATATGATCACGTGATGATATGAAGTGGATCATATCATTGTTGATCATGTTGGTGCACGTGTTGCATCAACATTGGAGGAGATGGAATGGAATGCGCAAGGCAAAGGTATAACCTAGGGCATTTCATTTTTCATTTCACCGATCATAGGTGTGTAGAGAAGTTTATGACCGGGTTTAGGATAGATGGTCGTACTATCAAGAGGAGCAAACTTGTTTGCATATCGGTCATCTAGTGCCACTCGAGTGATCTAACTTTGCATCGTCGCTAGGATCGAGTAGCGTGGCAAGTTGAGTGGCTAACATCCTTTGGGAAATGATTGTGAAAATACTAACACACATACACATGATGGTGTACACTTGGTGGTGTTGGCACATTTACAAAGGAGATGAAGTTGGAGTTGATGTGGATCAACTCAGCGATGAAATGGAGGCGAGAAGAATTAGGAACTCCACCGGTGGAGTGTCCGCCCATAGAGTGCGGACAGTCCGACGGTGCCACCGGCGCCCTAGTTAGAAAAGACAGGGTCTCACAAAGTGGACCGGACTCTGGTCATGCA